TATATATATATCTCTTTTTTTTAAATCAATTATAAATATACATCCTTTAAACATACTCTTGGAATATGTAATCTTGCGTCGCAAATAAATCGTATCTATTTTTAACATATGTAATATCTCACGATTGAGACAAATCTCATTTTCAAGATAAATTTGACGAGAAAGAAAAAAAATATCCTTCAAGCATATACGAGAAAACGATAATATCGCGATAATATCGTGATTTTTGTCCGACACGTATCTATCTGTTACATGAACGATGATAGGATTTGCGAATTTTCTCTTGTCCACGTACAGGTGATAATAAGCAAAGCAAAACTCGACGCGACGTCAATCGGCTAATCAATCGGGTGGACGGCGAAAGGCTTGCAAAAAAAGGCAATCATCTTTTAAATTCGACACGACGCGGCTCGTAACGCGCCGGGCTGCGAATACGAATTAGATACAATCGGTTCGGTGAAGAAACGCGGCTTTCGTCGTTGCAGGTGCAAGCCCGAACAAGCGATGGTGGAGGTGCTTTTGGATCGTATCGACGGCCAGGAGGTTGCCATCGTCGACTCGAACTGCATACCAGAATCACCGACAAAATGCTCGCCGACGGAGAACTCGTCGGCGATCAACGAGAAGCTGTCGCCAATTCAGGAGTTCTACTACGGTCAAAGCATCTTTCTTACTGGTGGTACTGGTTTCATGGGCAAGCTGCTAATCGAGAAGCTTCTCAGAACGTGTCCTGGAGTGGCCTCAATCTATTTGCTAGTTCGTCCAAAGAAGGGCAAAGACGTGCATCAACGCACCGAAGAGATCTTTGATGACCCGGTAAGTCTTTGGAGTTGCAGGGAGATGCTGTCCCTTAAACCTTATTTAATGTTCGAGCTTTGTTTTCTATCTACGATTCTCTAAACTTTTAATGAAAAGATTAATATTACGATTTTCATATATTTATTATTCACACGCGAACACAAAACTTTAGTATTTTTATACTGTTCGTATATGACATATATGTCTATAATACGTCTATAATACGTGCATAATTGTCTATAATATGTGCATCGCACGTCAGCAATTAACAGTCAACATTGACGGTCAACGTTCCATTTAGTTTCTTTCAGAGATTATTTTTTTAATAAAATCACAATTCTTTTATATTAATTTTATTTATCTAATTATATTTTGCTTTTTATAAAATTTTCGTATTTCTATGTAAAAAAATTTAAAAATTTTAACACTTATTGTTAGTTTTAGTACTATCTCTAGAACGTTAATATTAACAAAATAATAAATATTGTTCTTAATTTAACTAATCAATAATTAATTATTATTCCAATTTCCATAGCTATTTACAAAACTTAGAGACGAGCAGCCAAAGTTTCGGCATCAAATTGTCGCTATAGCGGGAGACTGCAGTCAACCGAATCTCGGAATGTCCTCCCAAGATCGGGCTACCATTATTCGGGAGGTTTCAATCGTTTTTCACGTCGCGGCTACGGTCAGATTCGATGAAAAGTTGAAACTAGCGGTACCCATTAATGTCAGAAGTACGAGAGATGTTCTGAATCTTTGCAAGGAGATTCCAAATCTGAAGGTATTCCAATATACAAAAACAAAAACAAAAAAAAATAGAATGATAAAATCACGCGACAATTATCTATGCATAAAACGTATGACTCGTTTATTATTTGCTCAACCGGATAAGTTCTCTCTGAAAAATTATGATGTCTCTACACGCTTGATTCATAGAAATTTAAATAACAGAGTCACAGATTATTATTAGTCGGGTTTCTTGACATACTAAACATACGATTGCTCATGTAAGCATTCGTGTGTTTAACTTAGCGGCGCCATTATTATTTTATGCAATTTCCTCAGTCTTTTGTGCACGTGTCGACTGCGTACGCAAACTGTCCACAAAGAGTGATCGAAGAGAAGTTTTACGATCCGCCAATGGACTCTGACAAACTAATTGCGCTTATGGAATGTATGGAAGACAAGTTGGTTGAAGACATCACTCCGCAGTATGTGGACTCTTCTCTATTTGAATTTTTAGCGCTCATAAAGAGAGAACGTGCGAAAAGAAGAACTTATTTTTCACTATTTACAGATTATTAGGAAAATGGCCAAACACCTATACCTATACGAAGGCAGTTGCTGAGAATGTGATTAAGAAACAGGCTGGTGACTTGCCAATCGGCATCTTTCGTCCTGCCATTGGTTAGCATAAATCACCATTTATTTATAATAACATATTTAAAACTGTCAGAATATTTTAGTAAACAGTACATAAATCAAAATTCATTAAAAATTTTTAAGAAGATCTCAAAATCTTTCTATATAAAAAACATGAATTTAATTATTAAATTATTTAAATAATAAATATAATTAATTAGAAGATATATT